TCTGAGGCTGAAAATTATAACCAGAGGGGCCTTCCCATCTTTACATCTGATTTTCTTCAACGTCAGTTTGAACTTATATGTAAGAAACTGGTGGTCTTTGAACTAGTTCTAATCTAACTGCTATGTCTTTCAATCCATACTTCTTTTGTTTTCTAATGCTAAGCTGAGGGACTGCATTTAGAAAGTAAAATCAGTGTACAAGCAGATCTGAAAGAAGCCCTCCTGACATGATGGTTAAGAGATTGACTATTAACTGAAAGGTCATTGGCTCAAACTTACTAGCCATTCTGTGTAGAGATAACACCTGACTTTCTACTCTTGTAAAGAATACAGTCTAGGAAACCCTATGGGACAATTCTGCTCTGTCACATGGTGTTGCTATGAATCAGACTCAACAACACACAATAATAAAAAGCAAACCAGAAAACTAGATTAATCATGTTTAGAGTACAGATACCTCCCTGCTGAAGGGGAGCTCTGGTGCTACAGCCCTTAGGGAACTGTACTCCTAACCCAGAGACCAAGCCTCTCTGACAGTTCACAACCTTTGTCACACTCAAACCCATTGTTGTAAACTCTGGGCCAATCTATCTCATTGAGTTTCTCTGCTTAGCAGTTAGTATATGATGTAGAATATGATACAGTCGCTCCTAGAGAAATTTATATTCTTTTACTACTGCTTCACTCTGGGTCAATGAGCAAGATTATTATTCAAAGAATCTCAATTACAAATATTCCACTTCCTCCTATCCAGTATAAACTATGTGTTTTTACTGTCCCCACCCCTACTTCATACATATAATCACCAAAATGTAAATACAATATATAGATATCGCAAAGAAAATGGATGTGCCATTCTTCCTAAACATTGGTGTGTTTTAAGTTGATAAAAGAGTGAATCATGAGAATGTTTCTTAGAGAGGAACAGATATTCAGCGAATGACATGAGATAAAGATAAGGTGGAGATTGATAATCTATGAACACCCAATTTTCAGAAAAGTGCTTTTAGAACAGAGTTGGATTTTTTTTAAAAAAGTGATATTGGTTTGCATACAAAATTTATATATATATATAGTGTTTCGTTCATGTACATTGTGTTTTACACATTTCTTCATTCACAATGTGTTTCATACCATTACTTCCATGTACTGTGTTCTATAATATTTATAACCATTAATTTATACCTACTATTACCCTATCTTTTCAGGTCCCACTGGATCTATCCTCGTTCCTTCACTCCTCCCCTCCTTCCACCAAAACCTGCATCCCTTTGACTTCCCACTCTCCTCACCCCCACCCCTCCTAGTAGTGAATGGTTAAAATCAAAAGACTGGCAATGGAACATTACATCAAAAACAAAAACATACACAAAAACTTTTCAGATGCTGAAGAATTCAGTAATTTGAAAGTAATTAAGTCATTCACAATTTTAGAACTTGAAAAGAAATAAGGCATTATGCATTCTAAATACTTCATTTTCTAGATGAGAATACTGGAGAATAGAGACATAAGTATTTTGTGGAGTTTTATATAGCTAATCCTGAACTATGGAAATTTGTACAGTTTAATCTGGGAAATTTTGAAGTAAAACATAAGTGTTTGGATAAGGAATTTAGTACTCTTACTGTAATGCACCTTGATGAACCACACTGTATTTGATGAAAATCACTGATTTTATTTCATTTTTTATGCTACGTTGAATTTTCTAAGTTTTAGAGTTGAAGATAGTTTAATTTAGAGATAGAGTCCCTTCTTAACACTTAAATGTACAGATTGGGATACATTTACTCATGGTGCACATCTTTAAAAAGAAAAAAAAAACAGTAATGACAAAAGGCATGGGATCACGTGTGTACACATCAAAAACATTTTCCAACAGAGTGAAAAGAAAACCTACTCATTGGGAACATTTTTAGACAATAGCTTCATTTCAAAAGTTTACAGAACCCTACAGGGTCTCCACAAGAAAAACACTGATAGCACAATTAAAAAATGGGCAAGGCATGGAGAGAACTTTCACAGAGGAAGATATTTGGATGGCCAACAGACACATGAAGAAATGCTCAAAATCACTGGTAATAAGAGAGATGCAAACCAAAACCACAATGAGATACCATATCACTGCAGTAGCAGTGGCAAAGTTTAACAGGACAGCAAGTAATAAATGTTGGAGAGGGTGTGGCAAGATAGAAACGCTTCTAAATTGTTGGTGGGATTATAAAATGGAGTGACCACTCTGTAAGGCACTTCCTCAAAAAGCTGAACATAGAAATGCCATATTCCCAACAATTCCCAACTATTCCCCTGCTTGGGATATACCCCAAGAGAATGAGAACTAAGACACAAATGGAGGCTTGTACACCAGTGTTCATAGCAGAATTAGTCACCATTGAAAGAACATGGGAACAGCTCAAAAGTCCAACCACAATCTAATAGATTGAGAAATTATAGTACATTCACATGATGGAATACTAAGCAGCATTCACAGGCAATGCTTTTGTAAATTACTACGTAACTTGGGAGGGACTGGAGACTATTATGCTATGTGAACTAACTCAGTCCCACAAGGACAAATTCTCTGTAAGTTCATTATTGTAGAATAAATGTAAGGATCCAAAGAATGGAGCAAAGGAGGGAGGATGGGTGGAGAGAGGAGTGTTAATCATAGGGTCACACAACTTGATAATAGGTCGAGGGGGAGTTGAAGGGAATGGAAAAGATTCAGTGTGAAAAACAATGTATGCAAACTTTGTAAATAAAGCAGTATAAAAGTTTTAAAAAAAGAAAAAAAGGCATGGGATCATGTGAACCACAGATTTTGGCAAGTTTACTTTTCTGGCTCTGGTGGCTAGTGGTAAGAAGCTGCATTTAAAAAAAAAAGAAAAACATGCTGAATCAAGGTGAATGGAAAATTATCTCAATAAATGGAATTTTTGGGAAAAAAGTAAACTGGAGGAAGGGAGGGCAAAGGGTTAAAATGTGCAACAACAAATGAATGACTATCAAACATCTCTGTAAATGTTCATTAAAATAACAACTGAAATAAAATTTTATTTAAACAAAAGAAAAATTTCTTTAAAAAAAGCTACATTTTAATCTCAAAGGCATGTGGTTTGAATCCTTGAGCTGCTCTGCAGGAGAAGGATAGGCAATCTCCTTGCATGCAATTTACTGACTCTGATAACCCACTAAAGAGTCATCTGTGAGTTGATTTCTACTCAACAGCTTATACCACCACCAACCTACAATAAATTACTTAGACTCAAATGGAAGAATTTGTGGTCTGAAAATGAACTCATCCTTAGAACAAGAAGGAGAGCTTTGTTAAAAAACAAAACAAAACCCCAACAAATCTATTTTAAACTTTTAACTTTTCAAAACCAAAGGGTAGCCATAGTAGTGTAGTGTATAATGTGCAAGACTTCTAATCAAAAGATTGACGTTTGGATCTACCAGCTGCTCTTCAGGAAAATGAGGAGCAGTCTCTTCCTGGGAAGATTTATAGTCAGAACTGAATCAATGACAGTAGACTTGATCTTGGGATTTCAAAATTAATTAAAAATGTGGACATTTTAAAATGATGCTAAGGAAGAAAACAATGTTTGAAAAATTTCTTTCTTGAAGAATACCAGGTCCTTAGTACTTCCTAAAGGGTGTTCTGGTGGCCAAGTAGTTAAGGAGGTGTGCTGCCAACTCAAAGAGAGATGGTTTGAACTCACCAACTGTTACAAGGGAGAAAGATGCCCAATCTCCTCCCATGTGATTATAGCCTCTGAGAACCTGATGGAGAGCCTGCTTGAATGGTTTCCAACTCAATGGCAGTGAGTAGAGTTGAATATTTTCTAAAATCTATAAAAATCTGTAGAAGAAAGCAGATAAACTGTTCTTGTTTAAACTGTTCTATGTTTATTTTACAATACTGGTGTTGAACTCTGGATTCTTTTGATGTGATTTTTTTTTAATTGTGATTTTTTCGAGTGACAATGAGTTAGCATAAAAAAATTTATTGCCTCTACTTTCCAGAAAAACTATCAAAATAATAACATAGTAAAAAACCAAAACATAGTATCGTTTCACTAATGTAAGATGTGACTGTTATAAGATGTCCTTAGGCATTTCTCCTGGAAAAAAAGATGTTCTTTTTTTGTTATTGTGGTCTTTGAAAAATCATATCTATTAGTAAGTTTTTAACTAGTATTTTTATTGATTATCAGGACAGAGATGAATTCACACTATGAGAAAAAAAGATCAAAATATAGCAATCACATTTTTCTACTCCTACAGTAATAAGAACAAATGAGAATATTCTTTGTTTTAGTAGCTAAGATATTTTTCCCATATAGAATACACACATGCAATAGAATTCAACCGTAAACATAGTAGTGCAAAAGTTTTACATAGTTTCTCAAAAAATGCATATCTTTGTTAATATTGATCATAATATAATACAAGATGATTATACTGTGAGACCAAATTTGTCTATTGATTAAAGTTATTAATAACAGGCTAACAACACTGGAATTTTTAAAGACATGATTTAAACAAACATTAAGATAGGAAATTTTCAATAATAAGAAAACATGCATTATTTGACTGGTACAATGTATTTAAGGCATGTTTGGAAGCAGGATTGACATACACTTCCTAACCTACACACTTCTGGAAACTCTATGAACTTTGATAAATTACAATAGTTATAGAAAGTCTTCAGGCCTTTTGTTCATAGGGTCACTATGAGTTGTGCTCAACTTGGTGGGAATCAACAACAAAAGGCTTTCTTTTTCTTACACGTTAACTCATCTACATAAATATTCACTAAATTCTATTACCCATGTTATAACAGTTCTAGTCCATCCCTTTGGTGTTGTGTTCAGAAAATAATTCTGTCTCTCTTTGATAATCAAAATCAACTTATAATTTGTTTTCTTCTATTTCATTCCTACTCGATTTCTGAAAGTGAAAGTGAAAGACCAAAGCCAGGACTTCTGAAATACCATCTTTAATTTAACCTTTCCAGTGGAGGATAGGAATTGTTGTCAGACTGCAAAGTCTTCAAAAGTTTTTGGTACATTTCTGATTTTAGAAACCTGGGATATGAATCCCTTTCCATATGCATGTACACTATTCTTTGAGCCTCTGCAAAACAAGTTGGAGTGGGCTCTTGAAGATTCTTGATGATGGCTTCTCTTGTTGAGCTGTCAATGTTAATCTGAAAAGTGAAATTACATGTGGAACATAAGCAGGCATAATTGAAAATACACACACACACACACACACACACACACACATAGTATGAAAGCTTTTGTTTATTCCTCCTTTCCTTTTCAGTCAGGAATCCTTGTGACACATGCTTTAAAACATTCACTGCTAACCAAAAGGTTGGTAGTTTTGATGCCACCAGTTGCTCCATAGGAGAAAGATGTGGCAGTCTGCTTCTGTGAGTATGATAATATTGGAAAACTTATGGGCACCCTACTTTGGATTTTAGGGTCGCTCGGAGTCACAATCAATTCCAGCCTTGGTTTGGCTTTTTTATTTCTATTCATTGAAAAAGGGTAATTTTGGTTTTAGTTTTGTAGGTATCAAAGAGGATTTACAAGAAATAAACTCCCTGTGGTTTTTCCCCCCTTTTTTCTTTTTTAAAGTAAACATCCACCTCCACATTCCAGGGAAGGGAAAATAAAGCAAAACGCTAGACTCAAGACTAGTGAGGTCTTCAAAACTATTGGTTACTTAGCAGGATGCAAGTGGTTTATTAGTAGGAGTCTACAAACAAGGAAGTTTATAGACTGGAGGTCTCCCTTAAGGAAAGGGGAAGCGAGTGCTATTTAAAAGCAGGTTTCCTTAGTAATCATGACTGTTGGTTTAATTGAATATTCCCTGAAATGGGAAAAGAAGGAGAACAACTAGAAAAATGGAGAAGTGGTTATTTAAATAAACCAAGTGTTTTCCAGATAAGCATTTTGGAGATCACGTCCATAATAGAGGACTGTTCTGACCCTTAGGAATCTCACATGTCCTGTATCTACCCCTTTACCAAGTATTTGCATTCTCCCCTCTTTACCAGGAAGAGTATCTGGTGTCTCATGACTATCTTCTTCAGACTACTGCAGAGGATTAGCATTCATGTCAATGTGAATATCTCTTGGTTTTGCTACTTTTTAATTAGGATGAAGAATAAGTGCTGGTATAGTGAAATGTTGTTTGCTTAAAAGCACTAGTGATGCCAACATTCCCATATATAGTATCTAGTTTTCTTTTGACAAGGCTAATTCTTCTCCCAAAGGTGGTGATGACGACAACTACTTCTACTACTACTTTTTAAACCACTTCTGAGAATTAAATTAATGTAATGAGAAGAGGCAGGCAAACACATTTTAATATTAACTCTTACTAAGGGTTAACAGATTTGTCCTGGAAAGGGTTAAACTGGGTGGCTCCTTGGAGGCAAAGATTCTGAGGCTCCATCTAACATACTTTGGACATGT